GAACCCACATGACATCAGCATGGGCTGACCATATATGGGTTAGACCTGGGTGTGGATATGTGGGCCCCAGTCCTTTTTTAAGTGGGCTATCTGGAATGGGATAGTACTGGGCAACAGTATGTGGGGCCCATGTGGTTCTAGTATCATGGGCCCAACATGGGAAACCCATGTGGGCTGACCACATTGAACCCACATGACATCAGCATGGGCTGACCATATATGGGTTAGACCTGGGTGTGGATATGTGGGCCCCAGTCCTTTTTTAAGTGGGCTATCTGGGAATGGGATAGTACTGGGCAACAGTATGTGGGGCCCATGTGGTTCTAGTATCATGGGCCCAACATGGGAAGCCCATGTGGGCTGACCACATTGAACCCACATGACATCAGCATGGGCTGACCATATATGGGTTAGACCTGGGTGTGGATATGTGGGCCCCAGTCCTTTTTTAAGTGGGCTATCTGGGAATGGGATAGTACTGGGCAACAGTATGTGGGGCCCATGTGGTTCTAGTATCATGGGCCCAACATGGGAAGCCCATGTGGGCTGACCACATTGAACCCACATGACATCAGCATGGGCTGACCATATATGGGTTAGACCTGGGTGTGGATATGTGGGCCCCAGTCCTTTTTTAAGTGGGCTATCTGGGAATGGGATAGTACTGGGCAACAGTATGTGGGGCCCATGTGGTTCTAGTATCATGGGCCCAACATGGGAAGCCCATGTGGGCTGACCACATTGAACCCACATGACATCAGCATGGGCTGACCATATGGGTTAGACCTGGGTGTGGATATGTAGGCCCCAGTCCTTTTTTAAGTGGGCTATCTGGGAATGGGATAGTACTGGGCAACAGTATATGGGGGCCATGTGGTTTCAGTATCATGGGCCCAACATGGGAAGCCCATGTGGGCAGACCACATTGAACCCACATGACATCAGCATGGGCTGACCATATATGGGTTAGACCTGGGTGTGGATATGTGGGCCCCAGTCCTTTTTTAAGTGGGCTATCTGGGAATGGGATAGTACTGGGCAACAGTATGTGGGGCCCATGTGGTTCTAGTATCATGGGCCCAACATGGGAAGCCCATGTGGGCTGACCACATTGAACCCACATGACATCAACATGGGCTGACCATATATGGGTTAGACCTGGGTGTGGATATGTGGGCCCCAGTCCTTTTTTAAGTGGGCTATCTGGGAATGGGATAGTACTGGGCAACAGTATATGGGGCCCATGTGGTTTCAGTATCATGGGCCCAACATGGGAAGCCCATGTGGGCAGACCACATTGAACCCACATGACATCAGCATGGGCTGACCATCTATGGGTTAGACCTGGGTGTGGATATGTAGGCCCCAGTCCTTTTTTAAGTGGGCTAACTGGGAATGGGATAGAACTGGGCAAAACTATGTGGGGCCCATGTGGTTTCAGTATCATGGGCCCAACATGGGAAGCCCATGTGGGCTGACCACATTGAACCCACATGACATCAGCATGGGCTGACCATATATGGGTTAGACCTGGGTGTGGATATGTAGGCCCCAGTCCTTTTTTAAGTGGGCTATCTGGGAATGGGATAGTACTGGGCAACAGTATGTGGGGCCCATGTGGTTCTAGTATCATGGGCCCAACATGGGAAGCCCATGTGGGCTGACCACATTGAACCCACATGACGTCAGCATGGGCTGACCATATATGGGTTAGACCTGGGTGTGGATATGTGGGCCCCAGTCCTTTTTTAAGTGGGCTATCTGGGAATGGGATAGTACTGGGCAACAGTATGTGGGGCCCATGTGGTTCTAGTATCATGGGCCCAACATGGGAAGCCCATGTGGGCTGACCACATTGAACCCACATGACATCAGCATGGGCTGACCATATATGGGTTAGACCTGGGTGTGGATATGTGGGCCCCAGTCCTTTTTTAAGTGGGCTATCTGGGAATGGGATAGTACTCGGCAACAGTATGTGGGGCCCATGTGGTTCTAGTATCATGGGCCCAACATGGGAAGCCCATGTGGGCTGACCACATTGAACCCACATGACATCAGCATGGGCTGACCATATATGGGTTAGACCTGGGTGTGGATATGTGGGCCCCAGTCCTTTTTTAAGTGGGCTATCTGGGAATGGGATAGTACTGGGCAACAGTATGTGGGGCCCATGTGGTTCTAGTATCATGGGCCCAACATGGGAAGCCCATGTGGGCTGACCACATTGAACCCACATGACATCAACATGGGCTGACCATATATGGGTTAGACCTGGGTGTGGATATGTGGGCCCCAGTCCTTTTTTAAGTGGGCTATCTGGGAATGGGATAGTACTGGGCAACAGTATATGGGGCCCATGTGGTTTCAGTATCATGGGCCCAACATGGGAAGCCCATGTGGGCAGACCACATTGAACCCACATGACATCAGCATGGGCTGACCATATATGGGTTAGACCTGGGTGTGGATATGTAGGCCCCAGTCCTTTTTTAAGTGGGCTAACTGGGAATGGGATAGAACTGGGCAAAACTATGTGGGGCCCATGTGGTTTCAGTATCATGGGCCCAACATGGGGAGACCATGTGGGCAGACCACACTGAACCCACATGACATCAGCATGGGCTCATGTCATGGGCCCAACATGGGGAGACCATGTGGGCTGACCACACTGAACCCACTGTGGGTTCAGTGTGGTCAGTACATATCCACGCCCAGGTTGGACCTGGGTGTGGATATGTAGACCCCAGTCCTTTTTTAAGTGGGCTAAATGAGACAAAATTGTAGAACAATGTACAGGGGTTGGACAATGAAACTGAAACACCTCTCATTTTAGTGTGGGAGGTTTCATGCCTGAATTGGACTAGCCTGGTGGCCAATCTTCATGAATTGCACATTGCAACAGTAAGAGCAGAGTGTGAAGGTCCAATTAGCAGGGTAAGAGCACAGTTTTGCTCAAAATATTGCAATGCACATAACATTATTTGGGACATACTGGAGTTCAAAAGAGGGCAAATTGTTCACCAAGACAGCAAGTCTTTGTGATTATCAAGAGCCACAGTATCCAGGGTAATGTCAGCATACCACCAAGAATGACGAACCACATCTAACAGGATTAACTGTGGATGCAAGATGAAGCTGTCTTAAAGAGATGTTTGGGTGCTAACCTGGATTGTATCCCAAAAACATAAAACCACGGTGCCCAAATCACGGTAGAATTAAATGTGCACCTCAACTCTCCTGTTTCCACCAAAACTGTCCGTCGGGAGCTCCACATGGTCAATATACACAGCCGGGCTGCTATAGCCAAACTTTTGGTCACTCGTATCAATGCCAAACGTCGGTTTCAATGGTGCAAGGAGCGAAAATCTTGTGCTGTGGACAATGTGAAACATGTATTGTTCTCTGATGAGTCTACCTTTACTGTTTTCCCCACATCCGGGAGAGTTACGGTGTGGAGAAGCCCCAAAGATGCATTCCAGCCAGAGTGTTGTATGCCAGAGTGAAGCATGGGGGTGGATCATTGATGGTGTGGGCTGCCATATCATGGCATTCCCTTGGCCCCATACTTGTCCAAGACGAATTGATGCTGTATTGGCCTCAAAAGGAGGCCCTACACCACGCTAATAAGTTATTGTGGTCTAAAACCAGGTGTTTCAGTTTCATTGTCCAACCCCTGTAGTTAACCTGTCACTTTCAAAATTTTGACTGTATGTCAAAGCAAAAGCTGCAAGAGCAAGATTCTCAAAACTTGGAAAGAATTACCCGAGATGTCAGCTTTATAGTCTTTGCCAAGGCAATTGTTACTCAGCTGGCCTCTAATGGAGTTGATGTAAGGTAAATTGTAGAATTTAATTTTTTCCTTGTAGGAAACCTCGACGATAGTAAAGGTTGGTGACCTTGACCATTGTCGAGGTCTCCAGGACGAAGGTGACCTCGTCTTGGAGATCACCCAAGGATATATTTTGCTGATAGAACAGAACATCCATGTCTTCCTAATGTTTGAACCTAAAACATGTTCACTGTGTGATATCTATGCCTGGCTCATTTACAAACAATAGGCTTCCAGAGGACCAGGATATTAAAACATTAAAAATAATTCTACAATGCTTTATTTTTTTAAACCAGTTCAGTATTGCTCTAGCCACACTTTGAACCCTTAACATTTTTTCATGTTATTATTTTATGCTAGAACAGTCCAGTCCAGTCTCCAAGCCAGTACGCATGAGTGGGCCCCCCTTGGGTTTGTAGTAGGCCATATGGGTAATGAGTGGTCATGGGTTTTATCTGGGCAAACCTCATGGGACACATATGGTTAACTAAAATGGGACCCCTATGGGCTGGCCCATTTGGGCTAAATGTATGGGCCCTATTCAGCAACAATGTGGGCTAACTGGAAATGGGACAGAAATGGGCAACACTATTTGGGGCCCATGTGGTTTCAGTATCATGGGCCCCACATGAGAAGCCCAATGTGGGCTGTCCACATTAAACTAACATGACATGAGCATGGGCTAACCATACATGGGTTGGACCTGGGCAGGAAAATGTAGCCCCTAGTACTTTTTTTCATGGTCTAAATGGGACAAAATTGTAGAACATTTTAATCGACAATGTGGTTACCCTGTCACTTTCAAACTTTTCACTGTATGTCAAAGCAAAAGCCAGTTCAGTATTGCTCTTGCTACACTTTGAACCCCTAACTTTTTTTTCATTTTATTATTGCAGTCTGAATGTCTTAAAACATTTTTTTTGAAATAATCTGTTTGAAATATATACGTAAACTCATATTCTGGTGCTTACTCAAAATTAAGCACAGAGTGGTCATGGTTGAGCTTTAGTCCTTGTTTTATTTTTAATAATAATAACTTTTTATTTTATTTTTATTATTATTTTTTATCAATTGGATGTTTAGACATCGATAGAGTTTACTGCAGCCTGTTCGCAGCAAGATTTAAATTTTTATTTGGACAAATAGTTCAGATTAGACCATTGTGAAAAATATCACAAAATGTTTAGAAAATAAACAAAACTCATTAGCAAGTGAGAGACAAGAGTAAAATTTTGAGCATCTGTTTTTTCATATATTTGCAAACATTTTCCAAGTCATCAGTATAAATAAAAATAAAAAATAAAAAAACGTAACATTTCTGTTAATGATTCATTTGGTTCCAATTACCTTTTTGTTCATTGTTTGCTCTGAGGCACCGTTGCCAATAAAGGTTGGTGAATTGAAGTACCGGTAGGCACTTTACACATCCACTGAAGAAAATAGTTCCAAAACATATTTGAATAAGGAGGACAACGAAATGTATTTATTTACATTGAGAACTTTTGCTACATCGGTTTTACATTTGTTAAACCGATGTAGCACTCTCAAAAATTAATCTTGTGTTTCTTGGAAAACGTAAAATGACCCGCGGATGGATATGCGGTTTCAAAATCAAGCCTGTTCTCTTCATCAGTCCGTTGGCGCGGAGTCTGCCTGTTGGCTGATCTACGAAAGAATCTGTAAGTACATTTCTTCTGTTTTACCTAGTACCAAATTTTAGGGAGAGATTTTAAATCGCTTGTTAAAAAAAATTGTTGCTCGTAACAAATCGGACGACAGTATCCCAAAAGAGACTTAATTGTTATTGTTATTTTTGCTTTTCTTTAGGGTGATACTTTTTCTGATATTGCTAACACACACAGCTACACACAATAAGCAGATTTTAGTGCAGACCGATTTCAAACGCAGCGTTGTGGGCCAAACCATTTTCAAATACCGCCGCCATTCTATTTGTTGAGCTGCCATTGGTTCATTTGAGCGCCAACGAGGCAGAATGAAATCGGTTCACTGAAGAATCTATGTTGCTAGCAGAGGTTGTTACAGTGTCTGGACACAATAAAACCATTTGTATGATTTAAAAAGAGTAACTATTGTGCTTTCATTCTATGTACTTGGGCTTTTAATAATCTTTCTCAGTCACATCAGCATGCATGGGTGGGTCTCATGTATGGATTCAGGCTGGTTTGGCTGGGACCCATGCAAGATTATTATTGTCGTTTTTTTCAATAAAACTGCATTGAATCGTTTAGCTTTGGGCTATATAGGTAATGATAAGAGGGCATGGGTTTTATCTGGGCCAACTGCGTGAGGCTCAAAAGGTTAACCGAAATGGGACTCATATTGTTGGCTCAATTGGGTTAAATGTATGGGCCCAATTCAGCATTAACGTGGGCTAACTGGGCATGGGACAGAAATGGGAACACTATATGGGGCCCATGTGGTTTCAGTATATTGGGCCTAAAAGGTTTTTTGTAAATAGGATGAAGGCATTGTAGTTCATATTTTTAAATTTTTTTTTAATTGTTGTGTGACACTTTAAAGCGTTTTGTTATGTCATAGTTTATTTCAATCTGCCGCTATTGTGTTGGTCTAGAGTAGTCATCAGTGTCAGGGTTCCTGTGTGTGTATGTGAGTGTCGCATCTTATTTCAGCGAGGAGCCCGTGGAGCTTGGCACAGGTGGAGGAGCAGCAGAATCTTCAGTCTACGCTAGATTGACTGAAGATTCTACTGGTGTATGCTAGATGGTTGCATACACCGGTAGTCACTCTGGCCTCTCCTGTTGTGAACAGTTTTCTGAGAACGTTTCTGTGTCTACTAGAAGTCACCTGGTCTCTGTGTTTGTTCGATCCTAGGGGTTTTGTCGCCTCATTCGAGAACTCACCAGTGAATACCTGCGTGCTCGCTCCGCCGATTCCACTGCCTCCACTCCACCCTTTGAGCTTCCAGCTCTCTTCCATTCCCACCTCGCATTTACCTTCGGAACCGCTGCACACCCTCTCTCAGGAACCTGGCATCTCACACCCACGCCTCGAAAGACCCGCACCGAAGTAAGCCTGTTCCTGTTTCCCCTCCGATCACTCATTCTAAGCCCGTCATAACTAAGTTCTCGTTTCAGGCCAACCTGGTCGAGTGGTCCTCACCCTTCCGCTGATGTCCGGGAAATAGATTTTATTTTGTCCTGTTGTAAATAAATCACTCACTCATCCCTATCCAACGTGTGGTTACTGCATGTGGGTCCGTAAATTGAAACCCATCATGTCAATCAGTGGCCAAGCCTGAAACAAATATTGAAAGATGAAGAAATTCTTTTTGATATTTTTGCAATATTTAGCTAGCAGTTATGTGAAATGTACTTATATTTAATTGTAGCTCTAATTTTTTTATATGTGCAATGTTTTAGGCTTTATTAGTTACATTTATAGTGATTTTCTAAACTTCTCTTAAGAGTAATACTACTGTCTTAGTCCTGTCACGTTAACAAAGAAATTAGGATAATTGCAAAACTGTTCAGTGTTTACAATATAAGGCTTCAGTAGTTAATCCATACAAAGGCTGTTTTGCCTTAATTTTTTTATTTTTTTGAAAAGTCTAAATGTTATATTGCACTAATAAAATATATATTTTTGCAGGCTTCAAGAGGATCAGCGTGTGAAGATCACTTTATAATGATTTGAAAAAGGTAGATTAATATGTTAGTGAAATTAAGCACATAAGAGTGATATAATGACAAACTGATGAACAAAAACAAAATGTTGTCCTGTTATTGTCATTGTACTTAAGGTTGCCATGGCTACAGAAATTGGAGGAGCATCCTTAGATGACACAATACAACCAGCTGTGCGATTCCTCATGTCCCATGAACTGGAAGTCCAGTTCAACCTTTTTGGCCAACATGGGAAACAAGCTCTTGGACCTGCGTCTCTTTGATGTTTTGTATGGTAAATATCAGTTTTTATTGTCAGAGTAACTTTTTTTTTTCACTTTTCTTTCTTAAACATATGTTAATTTATTTTGGTTGTTTTTATGCTTTTGTTTGTTATTTTTAGTAATGTTTTTTAGGTTAAAAATTGAGTCTTCAATTTTTGGTTTTATTTGAACAGTATTCTTTCACTGTTGTTAAGAACTTAAAAATTTGAAGGTAATATTGTTTGCATTTCAAACAATATTAAAATAACCACAAAACCACGATAGAACCTAGTAGTTGATTTATATAGATGGATATATTTTAAATTTACAGTAAGAATATAGTTTTCTGTACATAATAATGATGACTCGAGTCCTTTTGATTATGGCATATCTCTGCAAGCATTTTTGCCCCATGAAGGGGGAGATGCAAATCTCATGAATGTTACATTGTGCTAAAATGAAACACTAATACAATTTCTACCTTTGCTTGTTATTTCAGGGGACTTAAAAGAAATTATCCATCTACAGAATCACACAAGCATACAGCAAAGACTCTCGAAGTGGTTTACTGGAGCCCGAGTGGAAGTGGAAATAGACTAGAGAGACTGCCAGTTCAAACTCAGGTTGGGGAGGTCTTTCAAGATGGACAGTTTCAGTAAAGTATGAGAGATTTCAAATTTAAGCATGCATATGGCATGTAGGTTATTTTTAAAAATGTTTAACAAAAATGTATTGTGAAAGATCTATATAGGTGTGTATATTCACATTGTGTGTATCAATGTGAATATACGTGTATAAAGTTATATAGATAGTATTTAGATGTATACATTTATAGACCTGTAGGAAAATATGTAGGTGTCTTTATTTGTGTGCATCTATAGATATATATTTATAGATATTTTTATAAGTTTGTTATATAGCTTCTGTTATTTCAAAGATGTCGTGAATATTGCAGATTTCTTTTTGTGGCACCATTCCCTGAGTATTAATGAAGTTCTAATAATTGCTGTAGTGAGGTAAAAAATACTCCTGACAATATTTTAAATTACTAAATAAAAGCCTTGAGCAAAATAAATTTTTCATCTCTTTTTTTTTTTTTTTTTTATTTGAACACGTTTTAAGCTAGACTTTGGATTGTTGATCAAGATTGCATATCTATGAATGTAATTCACATCCAGGTTAGATGAGAATTGTTCCTACAGGATTAAGGCATCTGGGTCCCACTGAAAGCCCAGTCAGCACCCATTAAAATCAACCTGGGCAAACCCATGTGGGGCCACCATGGAAACCGTGGACAAACCCACTTGTTACCCATATTCTAGCCCAGTTCAGACCCAATTGGGACCCAGGTAAATATTCCTGACAGCACCCTAGTGGGCCACAGATGAGCCTCATGTAAGTTAACCACATGGGCCCCACTGAAAACCCAGTCGCACCCATAAAAATTTACTTGGGCAAACCCATGTGGGGCCACCATGGAAACCGTGGACAAACCCACTTATTACCCATATTCTAGCCCAGTTCAGACCCAATTGGGACCCAGGTAAATATTCCCTACAGCACCCTAGTGGGCCACAGATGAGCCTCATGTAAGTTAACCACATGGGCCCCACTGAAAACCCAGTCAGCACCCATTGAAATCAACCTGGGCAAACCCATGTGGGGCCACCATGGAAACCGTGGACAAACCCACTTGTTACCCATATTCTAGCCCAGTTCAGACCCAATTGGGACCCAGGTAAATATTCCTGACAGCACCCTAGTGGGCCACAGATGAGCCTCATGTAAGTTAACCACATGGGCCCCACTGAAAACCCAGTTAGCACCCATTAAAATTTACTTGGGCAAACCCATGTGGGGCCACCATGGAAACCGTGGACAAACCCACTTGGTACCCATATTCTAGCCCAGTTCAGACCCAATTGGGACCCAGGTAAATATTCCCTACAGCACCCTAGTGGGCCACAGATGAGCCTCATGTAAGTTAACCACATGGGCCCCTGAAAACCCAGTCAGCACCCATAAAAATTTACTTGGGCAAACCCATGTGGGGCCACCATGGAAACCGTGGACAAACCCACTTGGTACCCATATTCTAGCCCAGTTCAGACCCAATTGGGACCCAGGTAAATATTCCTGACAGCACCCTAGTGGGCCACAGATGGGCCTCATGTGAGTTAACCATGTGGGACCCACTGAAAAACCCAGTCAGCACCCATAAAAATCTACTTGGGCAAACCCATGTGGGGCCACCATGGAAACCGTGGACAAACCCACTTGGTACCCATATTCTAGCCCAGTTCAGACCCAATTGGGACCCAGGTAAATATTCCTGACAGCACCCTAGTGGGCCACAGATGGGCCTCATGTGAGTTAACCACATGGGCCCCACTGAAAACCCAGTTAGCACCCATAAAAATTTACTTGGCAAACCCATGTGGGGCCACCATGGAAACCGTGGACAAACCCACTTGGTACCCATATTCTAGCCCAGTTCAGACCCAATTGGGACCCACGTAAATATTCTTGACAGCACCCTAGTGGGCCACAGATGGGCCTCATGTGAGTTAACCACATGGGCCCCACTGAAAACCCAGTCAGCACCCATTAAAATCTACTTGGGCAAACCCATGTGGGGCCACCATGGAAACCGTGGACAAACCCTTTTGGGACCCATATTGCCTGCCCACTTATATCCCATATGGGGCCCACCTAGGTGTGCTGGCTGGGTAAGGTCAATCAAAGCATAAATTATACTTAAATTTAACTCTTCAGAGCATCACCTTTCCTGATGGAAAACTCTAGTAAACACTTGGAGCCTTTGCTGCTCCTTCCTGCTCAGGAGACACCAAGAAAGTCAAGCACTCAATCAGCAAAGTCAAATAAAACCCACAGAAGTTATGAGAAACAAACTGACATGTTCCCCACAGGGAAGATCGCCCAACCAGATGTCACAATGTAACTGAAATGAAGAACTGAAACGAGAAACATTTGATCTGTAAATAAACTATACACAACAAAATACTAATAATCCTTTATTAGTGATTGAAACCCCGGTCTCCATCATAACTTTCTTAAAATCTGACGTCTTTGCAGGTTCCATGTCCAGGGCCTATAGATCTATAGAAATATATGTAAAAGGTTCAGGCCAAAAGTATCAAACTTTTTAAAGGAATATAGACAGACAACATGAAAAAGTGTCAGGTGGTGTAACCAGATCCAGATCTTACTCCTGCAGCAGAAAAAAAAAAATAGAATATGTTGAATATGGTGATGCTGTGATAGAAATACTGCAGCACTGCAGTTGGACTCCGACAGTAAAGCATGACACGTTGAGCTGCAGCTCAGCTGTGATTGGCTAATATTTTCCACGCTGATGCAACAAGATGTTCTGTTACTGACAAATAGCTCTGGCCTCCCCTGGGCAAACAAACCTATCAGCCAATAAATTCAGACCAGCATGCTGTCCTCTGCTAATGATCCGGTGTCACGGAATGCATCACCATAATGGAGAATAATTAGTTATGTGCTAACTCACTAGCTAACAGTGCTTTAAAGTCTGTGTGATTGTTGTGCAGGAAAGTGAAGCTGCACAAGAGGATGTTATTTGCAAGCTCATGTTAATGTATTGATTACAGACAAGCAGTGGCTGTGGGTTAAAATGAGCTGCCTGTAAAATACCTGGAGGCGCTGCAGGGGAACAATGTTCTGCAGTGTAATTAAGATATGAAAACAGCAGCTGCCTCGTCTCCAAGCTGCTTTGTTTCGGAGTTGGGCTACATTTGTCGTTAAGATGTGCTCCCAGGTGGCTGTTGGACCATTTGTTATTTCAATAAGGCACAGGATGCTGTCAGAGCCGTATGCGGCTGTTCTCCTTTCCTCACAACTTCACCGTGGGCCAAATTCAGTTATGAATAAAAACATCTCTACATGCCACAGCTGAGCCCTATGAAAGCCTTCTTGACGTTATCTCAGATCACTAACTTAAGTTGAAATGTAAATCAGATTTCCGTTTTTTTAATCTTTTAATCTCTAAGAAAAGCTGCCGTGCCACCTGTGTGTGCACACCACGGCTGTGAGGTTCGCTCCCCAAGAGGCTGACGCAAACTTTTCTACAGACAGAGAGCGGTGCCTCGGCTACAATCGCTTCCAGCTCCCAAAGACTCCAACGGCAACAAAAAACAGCTTCTGCAGGTGTTTGAAGTGCGTTCAGGGCGGGAAAAAGTGCAACTGTGCCAGAGTGCTGCAAAGAGACACATCTAGGTGAGGCATGAAGAAATACTCCATTCAGACCTATTTTTGGAAGCGTGCTCTGCTTCTCGAAGGAAATAGCAGCAGATTTCAGAATGGAAACCACATTCATTACTTTAGGAAGCCTAACACTTATGGATGCCTTGCAAAAGTAATCAGAACTTTATCACATCTGTCACGTCACAACCACACAGTTCCAACAGAGAGGAGCAGATAATTATCAGGTGGAAGGATAATGGTTTTGTGGAGAACATAAGTTTGGTTACTATAACTTTACGAACAGTTAACCTTTGTGCATATGAAATATTAGATGTAGCATGAACATTTTGAGTAGATTTTAAGTTAGGTGAACTTAGATAAAGATCCAAACTAAAACAACTGCTGACTCTCTGAACTTACATAAATTACTAAGAAGGGTCTGCAGGCACAGGGAGTCTGTCTCTTATCAGGATGAGTCAAATTCTTTGGTGTTTGTTTAGGAGTTCAGTAAAACACTAAAACCTTTAGAAAGGTTTTAGTGAAAAGAATTGGTTAGCAATTCTTCTAGAAGTATGATCAAATGTATTAAGATATTTACTTTAAGCATTAACAGCACGTTCTGAACTAGTTAGTGTCTAACCATACTAATTTGCATGCATCTTAGATTACTAAAATAGAAAACCACCAGGCCTTGTGCAGGTTATAAATTCTGGTCTGGAATGTAAAAAGGAGGAGAGTGGTACTCTAGTTGAGGATGACCTTTGTTCTCTCCATATGTTTGCCTTTGGATTTTAACAGGTCTCAAGCAGGGTAATAAAATTAACATGAAACATCCCTACAAGGGGAGGACACACCTTTTAATGCATATATTTAAATTCAGGGATTACATCTCCTTATAAAATGTCTGTTTTTATAAGGATCAAATTGCTTTGTTTGCAGCCGTGAGAGCAATTCTCAAAAAGGCATTTTTGTGCCTCTCCTAATTCTATGTTTTGTTATGTGTTGGACTTCTTGATAATCTGGGTGTAATGCTGTTGTAACATTCTGTATGCATTGAATTCTCTGGATAAAGCTCTAGATATATCTGAAGTTTGATGTTGAATGGTTGTTGCTCTATGATTTCCCCTGCACATGCGAAGTCCCTGGATCTGGGAAACTAGAGGAAAATTAGCGAGCAAAGTGAAGTTATTCCTCTAAGTTTTAACAGTTTCCAATAATAATAATAATAATAATAATAATAAAAACAGAATATTGTTGGATGCAGTTAAAGCAGCAAATCTTTTGTGTATCGTTGTACAAGTAGCTTAAAGTTGGTGAGATTTTTACTGTAGCTGCATTTCCATTACAAATACAAAGCTTTGTCAAGAATTCAGCTGCGTCGAAAAACACTGTTTTATATTAGTGTTTTTTTCCATCAAATAAGAAATTAAAATCACACGTGGATAAGTTAGTTCATGAGATAAGCTTTTAAAAAACATGCTGATCCGTCATGCTTCAAGCATTTCCTGTCATCGTCTTCTTCATCTTCTTCAACAAGCAGTTGTTGATCATGTGACTCATAAAGCAGAGTGCTTGCAATTTAACAAAAATAAATCTATTTTGACATGACCAAAAAAGACCCCACCTCATCGTATCACCAAAACT